TATCTAGCTGTTGGCGATGTTTTGGAACCTTTGGGGATTAATTTCCTACAAAATAAGGTTGTTCAGAATAGGAAGTATCGGTACTCCTCTATAGGGTATCAGTACTACCTTTGTTAATTTCAAATTTAACTAGCCGTTAGAGCCTTGTAGTATCGATATTGCCTAAGGGGTATCGGTACTACTTTGCACTATGGTATTGATACCCTTGCATAGTATTGGTACCCATTTTACATTCGATGTTTTGAGCCTTCATGGTAGTATCAATACTACCTTGATGGTATCGGTACTACCTTTGTCTAAGGTATCGATACTACATGTAGGGTATAAATACCCATTCATGTGGTATCGATACTACAAAGAACAGTATCAGTACTACTTGTAATTTTTGCTCAATTCATCTTTTAAATGGACTTTGAATTATTTTTGAAATCTTTTTAAAACTTTGAATAAATTGAATTCAAGTTCAAAAATATTTTACCATAAATTGTTATATCAAAATATAGTTCAACAGTCTAGATTTATTTAAATATAACTTTAAAAAAAACTCCTATTTTCCAAGGGAAAACCTCATTTTAGTACTTGAAATATAAAATGTTTAAAAATATGTTTACTAACTAAATAATAATCTAAATCAGACTAGATTAGCTTGACAATAAAATTCTATCCAAAACACAACTCAATTTGATAAATAAAAACATACTTTGTTACAAAATTGTTTATATTTTAAAAATGCTTTATGAAAATCACAAATTAATAATAAAATATCCTCTAAACATAATAAATTTCTGTTTAAAATTAAAATTTTATTTTATTTTAAGTTAATAAAAAACTTATTTTAAGATCAGATACTGGTTATTGAGAAATCAATACATTTTATATTTAGATAGACAACATTACACTATATTAGCAAAGTTCCAAAAATGGTAGAAAGTAACTAAATATGTTTGTTTTTATTTGATTATTAACATTTTAGTATCCATTTATAACCTAATGCACTTATTTTATAGGTACAATGACAAAAATTATCCCCTAATGTTTAATTAAATATACATTTTACTCCTTACTTTTTGAAGCATTTTGGCCTTAATGTTTTACTTTGGGTCAAAATATTTTAGAGTATTGTTAGTTTGTTGACTAACGGTTTCCATCCATAGAGGTGTCTTTTTATCTCAAAATGAAACATTATGGATCAAAATGCTCTAAAAAGAATATGGGCTCAAATGACTATTTAATCAAACGTTATGTGTATTTTTGTCATTATACTTATAAAATAAATGTCTAAATTATAGTGTTTATTATTTGACTTCTAAAAAATAAACTAATTTTTGAATTTTTCGTATGTTTTTATATTTGTTTGCTTAGAAAATCAAAGGAGAGAGAAAGAAGATGACCGAAGGTCACATGTCTCACATCCTTTGGATATTTTTTATGAATGATCAGGAAATAATTACGGAATAAAAATATTAAATATTTATTCTGACCAAAAAAATTTAAATATCCAAATAAAATTATTATAATTTAAATACTTATTTTATATTAAATCCTTTGAGAGGATAAAATTACAATAAGTTGGGTTTCCTTGCTCATATGGAGTAGTGGGAAAAAAATTTCCCGTATAAAACCGTCACCATATTATTTTTTGATCTAGGGTCATATCTACAGTGTCACGGGAATAGACCTAGAGGGGAGCGGATGGGGGTGGTCCTCCTAAACATTTAAATTCCTATATAATTTTGACATTTTTCTTTGTATTATTTTTGTTAAAAATCCATTTTCGCCCCCTGGCATTTTTTAAGTTTGTCTCCCCTTTAAAATTTTATAAGTTCGCCTCCTCTAATATAAAATTTTGCATCCGTCCTCAGTGTCAAGGAGAAGACGTCAAGAACACCATGCAATCTTAGATTTTCACGCGGCATTAACTTTCTCAAAGTTAAAGATGCATAGCAATCTTGGAGTCTTCAACTAAAGACTTCATACCCTTCTAAAGTCTATGAAAATACCGTAACAATTATTTTAGTATGAGAAATAATATTCGAGGTAGATTGTTTTGATAATTTTTTTAAAGACATCGTTTTAGTCCTTATCCTGGATGTTGGAGTGATAATAATTTATTGAAATTATACCTCGGCTCAACGATGTGCAGGTCTAATCGAACTGATCAAGATCAACTTGGCATGATATTCCGCACTATCTTCTCCACTAAAGCTAAACCAATTATGATACGCCATTTAATAAAAAAAACCAATTATTATGTTCCAAAAACAAAGGCCATCTTTTAATTTTTTTTCTTTTTAAATATATATTACTTGTGGGAATAAATATTTGTCATTATTTTTATTAAATAAATAAAAGTAAAATAAAATATAGATTATTAAGATGATTACTTTATTTTTTTGCGTTATTTTTCCATATCATTATATATATATATATATATTGAATTTTATGTTTATACATAAAATTATTGGCTGAGTTATACCACAGTCCATATGTATAGTATAGGCCGGAAGTTCTGATTCCATTCATCAATGCATCGTGGCATATGATTAGCGAGTTTTTATAAAGTTATAATACCTAAATTAGGTCTACCTCTTAAATAAAAAAAAATACATTTAAATATATTTAAATTAATAAATTTTTAAATATTATAATAATAATACTATCAATTAAAATAACATACAATCACCGACAGAGGCTGGTTTAAGTCATAAACATTTTGATATTATTTAAACATGTTTCGAGTTTGAAGTTTTGTGTGTGTAGAAAATTTCTCTTAGGAGATTCACATATCGAAATCAGATATGCGACACGAATCGGTCCGAATTAGAATGAAAAAATACATTAAAAAATATCAAGCAATATGAACAGACTTTAAAATTTTCAATTGGTTTCTTAAAATAATATAACATTACACCTTTTTTTAATATTACTTTGGTTGGCCGGTTGCAACATGTTTGTTGCTACATATCATGCAACCTTAAAAATGGCATGAAATTGGAAATCGGATTGAAATAATATTTTATATACTGTAATCTATCTAGGTGAAAATATTCAGTCGAAATTGAAATTTATTTAACTTAAAAAAATATTTGAGTTTAAATATTAATTTAGTTGAATAGCTCGAATTCGAGTTGTATTACATTCGTATAAATCTAATTTATATTTTTAAACTACACTTTAAAAAATAAATATATTGTATTTATCGTTTGTATGCACCGTTCATCGCTTTTATTTTTAATCTTTATTGGTTGACGACGACATTAATTTTAATTTGGTTGTTAACCGGCAATAGTCTTTATTGTTATTTTATTTTCTTATATTATATCTTTATTTTTCTTCTTGTTTTTAATTTTTAATAACTTTACATTTATGACACGTTTTCCTCTTACTTTTGGTATGTTTTCGATCGTTTAATTGTTGTTATCATTTATCTTTTTTCTAAGGATTTATTTAACATTGTCATGACTGATAAATATGACGCTTATCTGTTATCATATTGATATTCCCTACTTCGGACCTTCGAATTAGATTTGATTCTCGATTTTCATTCGTGGATAATTTTTCATGTCGCTTGGCTATGATTTGCGGTTTGTCAGTTGTCTTTCAATAGATTGATCTCCTTTTGTGGTTCGTTTGTCGATGTGGTTAGATCTATTTGTATCTATATTTATTCAAGTTTTTTTGTTTAGTTTTTAACATTTTCTTTAAATGATCCTTATTGATCTTAAGTCACTAGTTTTTGTATGAATGATTATAGAAAAATATCCTAACTATGTGTTTAATTTATGTTTACGATTATAAAATTTTATTCTAATTTAGGATATTTCCTATTTTTAATAAAAAATTAACCACTTCTATAATAAAAAAATACTTTTAAAAGATGAAGACCTAATAAAGATGATAACTTTCCTAAGTTGTGTTAAAATATTCACGCATTTTTAGTGTTATAAACGAGTCGAACTGAGTTTGAGTAGTGTTGAGCTTGACTCAATTTGAAAAGTGTAAAATTAAATTCAACTCGACTAAAAAAATTCACAAGCTTAAAATTATCAAATTCGACTCCAAGTTTAAAATAAAAGATTGAAACTCGACTCGACAAATCCTCCTTATCATATTCATGCATGTAACTTTATACTCAGAATCTGATTCTTTAGGTTTGATTAATTCCATTCCATACCTTTTAAGTCATCTTTGATTGTCTTATAGTTCTTCAAATGCTTCCGTCTCCGAAGAGAATCCCGTAGCTGTCGCTTCATGAGTCTCTCTTTCGAGCAACTCAAGTTCCCCTGATTCCCGGATGTCTGCAATATAACTCAAACTTACCGCTCTTACTTTATCGATACGGATGTAATTGCTCCAACTCTAATCTTTTAAGAAGAATAATATTCTCTTTTATCACTGAAATCACTCATTCAAGTTTTTTTCTACAATCGCGATGAGGACTCGAGTGATTGCAGGTATTTTGATTTTCGGTGCACCTTGCAGTTAAAGACTATTATATAAAGCTCGCTAAGAATATTAGTGAGAAAATTAATCAACATGATCATGTATTAGGTACTAGATGAAGAACAATTACAATAGTTCGAAGCCATTAACATTTTAATACCTGGAATCTATCGTAGCATCTTACTTATAGTTGTAAAATCATGTGGAATTTAAAAGGGAATCAAATTTATTAAATTCTAAAATGGATGTCCCGTGTTCCTATATGTAATGGGGTAAGGGGAGGTAAGATAGTAGGCTGCCCCCAATACAAGGTTGAGAGCAGCTTCCGTAGAAGACCTCCAAATTATGAAATGACCTCCGTGGGACTCGATCCCAGACCTCAAGGTTAAGAACCTTATGCTCTACCAACTGAGCTGGATAGTCATCTCATTATTAAATTCTAAGAGGGACAAAAATAGATTATTAACAAAAATATAAAGAAAATATCTAAAATATATGATAATTTAAAACTTTTAGAAGAGGCAACTGCTCACTTACGTCTTTTGAAACATCCCTGATTATCCCACCAGCTCCCCTCGGTATATCCATGGTGGTACTTTATATTTGTTTATAAGTGTCCCTGCACTTAAGGCAGAAAGTTGTACTAAGCAATCCAAAGCTTGATCTGAACTCCCGCCCTTTTGGATGGCAGCCAATGCAGTTTCCTTTAGTTTCATGGCTCGAGCCCTCTCTGGTTGGTCCACAGATACTGAGTGAGACAAGATCCGAGCCAGTTTGGTTGCGTCAGGGACAGTGTTTAAACCCTCGCAGACACGGATAGACACTCCCAGTTCTTCAGCCAGCAGCTTGGCGTTGTCGAAGTGATCGACTTGCATGGGCCACACCAGCAACAAAACTTCACCCAGTAGTCCCTCTAATGCCGAGTTCCAGCCACAGTGAGTCAAGTACGAACCAACAGCTCGATGCTCCAGAATCACCAACTGCGGCGTCCAACCTTTGATTACTAGTCCCTTCCCTCGTACTCTCTCTTCGAACCCGGACGAAACATTGTTCCGATCTCTGCCATCTTCTTCCATGATGTTGATGGCCCAAATGAAAGGAACTCCGCTCTCTTCCAATGCTGAAGCCAACGTCTCCATTTGTCGTTTGGACAACGAAATCTGGGTTCCGAATCCGACATACACCGCAGATTTATCGACATGGAAAGAATCAAGCCATGCTATTATTTGATGTTGGGGCATGGAACCTGGTCCACCTCTCTCAGTGCCATTAGGTTTTATAGGAAGCAAAGGCCCTATAGACCACAGTCGATCATGGTGGATGAACTCATCTTTGATCATATGCATTTTGTCACCATCTAGCTCAGTAAATGAGTTGAAGATAAGACCCCAGCTTGTTGCAATCCCCATATGTATCCTTGTGAAAGAATCATCTTCAGAACCATAGTTCAGGTACCTTGACATCCGCGGAAACAAAGTACTTGGATTAAGAACACTGAAACTCAGATTCTGGATATTAAGAGACGAAGCAAGTGAGTTGACCCAGGAACTAAGGAGCATATCAGAGAGAACGGAAACAGGAGGCGATGGGTGGGTTCGAAACCATTTAACCAAAGGATCGAAAAGTTCACTCAATGATTCGACGAAATGTGGTGCTAAGGAAACATCTTGCATGATCTCGACTCCGGGAGGGATGGGAGAGGCTGAACAAGTAGGGAATGGAAGAACCAGTGTATGAACACTGGTGGAAGAATGAAGAGATAGAAGAGGATTTAGATAGTGAAGGTTTTTGGGGGTGACGACAATTGTGACGGTCAAGCCACGACGGAGGAGCTGGTGGATTAGGTCCATATGGGGAAGAATATGGCCACCTGCTGGGAATGGGATCGTCAAGACGTGTACGCCATTGTTCTTCTTGTTAGTTGCCATTGAGAAATACAGTCTCCACTTTCTTCACCTATATATGTCTACCCCCTAAAATGGAACCAATCTTACTACTCATCCAAAGATAACCTAAGCCAACAATTAGGTAAACATTTATAGTGTCCACTGTGCAGTTTTATTTTAATAAGATTAAAAATAAAAATAAAAAAATATTTATAGAAATAGACCAGAAATCAGAAAGGTTTAAAAAACATGGCAAAGAAAGAAGGGAGCAGCATTATAAAAAATAATGCATTAAAGAAGAAGAAAAAGAGGACATGAGAGTTAAGTGATTTTATGATTCCAACTATTTCTACTAAATTAATAATATAGAAAAGGAATACGCATGATTTTATATTAAAGGATGTAAAGTTATATTAAATGTAAACTTAAAAGGTTATATTAAAAATTTAGAGGTGTAATAAATAAATCACATTTTTATTTTGTTCTGATACATTATGCTTCCACGAATTCTAAATTTTGCATTAACAAAGACTATTCTTATAACTACGTCTACAAGGCATACATGGTGAGCAAATTATGGCTGAAATCAGTCATCAAGAAACATGGAGGACACAATATATTTAGTAATCATCGACAAAGGGTTATTCCTCGAGATAAGATCAAAATCAGGTTCTCTTACGAATAATCATGATGTGCACGGTAATCATCTCCGCATTCAGAGATACAATTAACCGATCTCTTCGATAACAACTTCCACAGTTCGAGAATCAACTGAAATGGAAAGAAAACTTTCAACATCATTACTTTATCCTGCCATGTTTAAATATTTAAACAACATTCTCTCTGGTTAAGCAATTACAGAGAAAAACAACGACTGGAGCCGGGAAGTGACTATAATGAAGGCATACGAAGGATCTGAGTTCATAAACATAAGCTATTGTAGCAGTTGCATATAAACAAACATTATAAACAGCTTTTCTACTCAGACTTGGACGTATGACATGGCATGTTCGATATTGTTTTTCCTAAACTTTTCATGTGTTTGGAGGTTTGGAGTATCATATCCTCGTACTCATGTCCGGATATAAGTTGCCAAGTTGAACACGAATGTCAAAATGGGTATTTCAAGAAAACAAAGAGTTCAACAGAGGTGGATATAGACTATTAAATCGAAGTAATTAGCAATTCGAGTGAAGTAACTCACAAGTTAACATATCTGCTTATGCATAGAAGAGATTTCAGGAGGCTTAGCTTAGAAAATAAGCTTTCTTAGTCTTCAGATTCAAGCTCCCTCAGATTTTTGGACACCAAGTTTACTTCTAAGGGTAACCGCTGTGTGTGTTCTTCGATTTTAAAACCATCTGAAGTTGTTCTTGGTAAGCAGCAAATTTCTTTTTCTTGCAATGAATTTCCAACGACAAATCTAGAATTTTAAGATCTTTTTCATCCTTCAAATCAGAAGTTAATTCATATAAGGGCAAGCTATTGAGTTACATTTATAAATAAATCCAGTTAAAGAGTACAAGAGGCTGGTCCCAAAGAGGATGCAACTGCAGGAAGCTTAGCTGTAAAAGGAATGGCCAAATCAGAAGTTTTTAGCTTCTCCACTAATCATTAAACTGAAATACTTACAATAACATACCTCATAAAACGTGATTCGATGCGACCGTCGAGGTGGTATTTTGCTCGGATTAAGTTCATGATTATGTTCTCAAACAAAACCATAGATGCCCCATTTCCCCCACCTTTTGCTGCTATTCTCAGCATTGCATTACATCCCTCTCTCGTCGCAGGCCGTGATTGGGAAACTCTGGTTTCTTTCTTTGTATATCTCTCTGCACGAAAACCTTCTTTTGAGCAAACAAACTCTCGACCGATAATCGAATTATCCTTGAGTGATCGGCGTGTGCGATTGTTCATAGAACTCCCTAGCATCCTCCGCTGACTCGAACACCATGCCTGTATATGGTTCCCTGTGTTTCATAGTCACAGGAAAACGTTGATCCAATGAGTTAATCAAATTACCATTTTCATCCATCTTACTATCCGACAACTCATCATCAAGCTTTGCATAGCCATAAAAATGTTTTAGTCAGCCATCGTCGATAATTCCAGCTCGAGTTAAGCTCCGGATTAGAGGTGCTACGCATCACAAAACTATCAGAAACCAAGTCAAGATCAGTCCAAAAGAAGAAGAAAAAAAACAGAAATTCCAAAATCATTGAACAATCCAACTTCTCCAACGAGAAGAAGCAATGGCTAACAGTGAGTAATAACCAAGCAACAAGCCTAGATTCATATAGAAAATGGAATCTCACAGCACCTCTTAATAATTTCACTAATTTGCTCTAAATAACATCAAATTACATCGATCTCTCAACATTTGCAAATATGAGAGCTAAGAATTTCCCGAGAGAAAACATATTGAATTTTGGACTTCTAATAACTGAATAAAGTATATAAAAGAAAACCAAAATGTATCAACTTTCGGCCTTAATCGTTCAAATACCAAAAACCCAACAATAAAAAACAACATAAAATTAAAATAAAATGGGAATTAGAGGAAAGTAGAGCAGTGGAAGGAGATAAGAATTTACCTTGTTCTTCTGATAATGTGGGGGTTTCAATGAAAAAACGTTCAGAGAAGAATAGCTTGACATGAATTTCAATGGCGGCAGGTACACCGAGACACCATTAAAACAAGGCTTAATATAAAAAAAAGATAAATCACGAATTCAGTGCCTAAACTACCAATTTTGATCCGTTTTAGTAACTAAATTTTTCATTTTTCAAAATCATACATAACGTTTAGTTTTTGTTTCATTTTAGTATCTCGTCGTTAAAAATTTAACAAACGAGCTCGTTGGCCATCACATCCGTCGATCTATGAAGCCCAAACTTTCTAGCCCGCATATTTTCGACCACTTCAACGCGATTTCGACCTCCGTTTCACCGGAAAAACGCCTCAATCTCCCAAAATCAACGATAGACTCTTCAATTTCTTCATCATTCGATCTCTATGATCCACTATTTGTGATGGGCTTGAAACTAGACTATGTTGGTCGACTCGTCATTCTCTCGATGTCCACTGTTTTGATTGGTCGTCCATCTACCAAAGTTATACCACGTCAGCATGTCCGTTAAGTTTTTAACTGTAAGATACTAAAATGAAAGTATATTACTAAAATAGATCAAAAATTATAGTTTAGATACTAAATGCGTAGTTTATCTAAAAATTATACAAACTATACCTATTTTTAATTTAGGTGTATAAATATTTTTTCGATTAATATAAATGTCTACTTTTTTACATTACTCTTTTAAGTGTATACATAATAACATACATTTAAAAAAACATCTAAACTTTTTTGTTTTTTTAAAAATTAAAAATATTATTAAAAGCATTTAAAAAAACAAAAGCAATTCTTAACCCTGCGTTGGTACTGTCTTTTTCCCAAATTGACAAACGACTAACTTTCACAGTCAGCTAAACGATCAAACGGTTGACTATCACAGTTAACCAAATGGCTAAACGACTAAAGAGATTTTTTGGATTTGAATATTTGAGATTTTAGAGATTTAAGTTTAGGAGTTTAGGAAAATGAGACAATGGTTGGTCATTGGGTGAGCACAACGACTGAGGTGGTTGTTCGTCGATAGTGAAGACCAAGGTGATACTGATGATGGCAACGATAACTGGTGTTTGGGATTTGAAATTATGATTTTTAATATTTTGGGACTTTGAGATTTTTTAAAATTATGATTCTTAATTTTTTTTATTTTGAATAAAAATTTCAAAATTCAATAAATGTGAAACATGTTATATTACATAATTTTTTATCATCTTTACGAACCAGACACTTAAAATAATAATATTTATAACATTAAGCATCTATATTATCAAAAAATATATATACACTTAAATTGGGAGATAGAGAATAAAATAAGATAAAATACACTAATCATTATTAATGTTTGGATAAAATTTTCTTTTCACTCCTTAAATTTAAAATTTTATTATAATTATTTATATTATCAATTTATAATAAAATAATCACCATACTATCATTTCGTTAAATTAATAATATGACAAAATAGTTTATTAAACACCATGTGGAATTCTTTAACCCATGCGGTTCCTCTTTTCCTGCAAATGGTTGTTGATTGACTCACTTCTTCCACCGATAATAAATCTAGAAATATCTTTTAAGGTTATATATATATATATATATATATATATATATATTAATAATATAATTTTTTTGTATTAATAAAATTAAAAATAAAAATTTAAGATGTGCATCATCAATAAAATGAATAGCTAATATAAAATAAATCAAATTTCAAAACGGATATGTGTTTATCCTAAACAATAGTTGCATCTGCTATACTCCCACTATCTTTGCTTGTTGAATATCCTTATGAAATCTTTTATCGAGTAATATTACTAGTTAAATAAAATGTTGTTCTCTTTAAAGATAACAAGTAAAATGAAAAGATAATATTTTTTAATCACCTTGTATTATTCCGAACAGATACAGTGGTGTAAAATGAAAAGCATTGTATACTTTAAGGGTAAAGTTATAAATTAAACCCTTAAAAATGATGGTTGGTAGAGGCCATGAAACCCCCACAGTTTCTCTTGAATTGAAATTGTTAAAAACTGTTAAAATGTTGGAATCAGTGTAAGATTTTAAACCCAAAATTTTCTTGCGCCTGTGTTTGGGAAGAAAAACTGCAAAAAGTCTGCTTTTTCAAGACCAGAAAAGGAACAGAACATACTTCAAAGATCAAAAAAGTCAAGCTCTGCTCCCAGTTGTAAGCTTCTTCTATCCTTTTTCTTTTCATTTCTGGTTTGTATCTTCTTCAATGTCATTTAACTTTTAACTTCTTTACCTACATTTTTTATGGTTTGGAAAATTTATATTGACAATTTATGAACTGGGTTTGTTTTGATTTTTAATTGCCGAACATATTTAATTAGCAGAGTACAAAGAACTGGAGCATTTTTTCTAAGTTAAAAGAAATAATTTTCCTGGTTGGCTTTACTTTTAGCTGTGCAGAAGAGGAAAATTTATGGTCTTGAACTGGGATTTTCGTTTTGATGATTTGTAAACTTCTTAAACTGAAAATAATGTTGGAATCTGGATGGACATATGATTTTATTTTTAGGAGGAGCGAAAATAGATTATCAAATGAAAATACATAGAAAATCTAAAATATAGGAAATTTTGAAAATGTTAGGGGGGCGATCGTTCCCATCCGCTCCCCTCTCAGTCGTCCCAGGGGCCGATGCACTAAACCCATCCCATTATTTAAGAGAAAAAGTGAAATTTAGTATAATATGTTAAAGAAAAATGGAAGATTTTTTTTTTGTACCCATTATTTTTAAGAAAATAAAATTAAAATTTTGGATCCCATTTATAAATTTTTAGATCCGCCACTGGTCGTCCCAGGTAATTTGGTTGTGGCTTTTACTTTCCTTTTTGGTTTACTTAATTTGCTTCATCTCAAATTCATTTCAAAGTGCATGATAAAATGGAATTAGATGATATATTTCTTTTGGTTACGAGATTATATTTTGTGTATATATAAAAATTGAGGAAAACTATGGGTGAGGAAGTAGATTATGCGTTACTATATTTCATGTTCACAGGACCAATGACAGGGACTGCTGGTCCACATGATTTTCCGGATACTGATAGAAGCTCCGAGGATGAAACTGCAGTTAACATTGCCATTTGTGAAGGGATCAGACAAGAACTGTTGGAGGAACATAATATAATGGACGGCGAGATCATTTCATTAGAACAAGCTGGTGAAGGTTTAGATTCAGGGAATTTGGAGCCATATACTGGGATGACTTTTCAGTCCCTAGATGATGCAAGGGATTTTTATTTCGTATATGCCAAGCGCACTGGGTTTACCATCTGAACAACCCGGATTCGTCATTCACTAAAGACCATATCTATAATTGGGCGGGATTTTGTGTGTTCTAGAGAAGGTTTTCGAGCTGCAAAGCATACACATAGAAAAGACAAGGTTCTTCCTCCAAGGCCGGTAACAAGAGAAGGGTGCAAAGCAATGATAAGGTTGGCAGCTAGGGATGGGGGTAAATGGGTTGTTACCAAATTTGTATGTGAACACAGCCACAAGTTAATGTCACACTGCAAATTTCCCGGAGAACTGCCAACTGTTAACATGCTCACCGAGGTAAGTCTTAGATGCTTGAAAGTAGTCTACCGGGTTGATCGAACTCATTATTATTGTAGGTAGGCTTTAGAACATGTTGTGGAACTAAATTATAGACTCCGGGAGGTGACTGATTTTAAATTGATATTTCACAGCATCGGTTATCATTAATCATCAATTCCCAAAGCATATATCAAAAATAGCATCCTCCACTAATTGAATGATTTGGTGATTGAGAGGCTCAATCTGTTTGTTGATTTTCCTGATGAACCTTCTTTCCCTTGAAACCTTTTTTTTTCCTTCTTGGAAAGCATATGCAATCATAACAATAACAGTTCTTTATGCGAAGCTTCAATACAAACTCATCTGGCTATTTTGAAGTGAAACTTTATGCTAAGAACTCTGTGTGGCACTCGTGAAGAGATCTTTGCCAACGGTTATACATGCGGGTTCTATGCTTGGTTTGTGGATCTAGGCATTAGATATATTGTCTAGAAAAGATTTTTTTTATGTTCATATATATCGAGCTAGTGCAAAGGGGGAGTATGTGAAGTGAACTGTATAGAAGTTTCCAAGAAAATGCAGCCTTTACTCGTAGTCCGGTGTTGAATCACATTCACAATTCTTTTTCCATTGCGGTCTATGGATTACATTTGGGTCCAAAAGGTTGTGTTGAAGTTCATACTAGAGATTGAAAGAAGAATGATACACTTTATACTATGTTACCAAAAGATTCTATGAGAAGTTTATACTAGAAATGGGAGATTTTTTAACTTATGAAGTAGCTTCTAAGAGTTAGAGAAGCATAGGAAACAGGGATAACAGTATACTAGTGGCTTAAGTTTGGCAACTGGACCAATTTAGCTATTCGAGTCTTTGAGTTAGTGTAAATACGAATTTTTGGCCCCGATACTTTGTTACTATGAATTATTCTCATCTGTAGCTGTTCAGTTAACTATTATGGCCTTCTTCTGTAACTTTTATTATGTAGTGAACTGCAACTCGCTGTGTTTGTTTGTTCATAAAGTTGTCAACCCTATGCATGTACTTCCCACGAGTGATCTTTAAAGAATATTATGCTCGACTTTCACTGCAACCGTTGTACTAACATGATTCTTAAATTTTCGGAAAATTTCTTGTTTTAAAATGAGAACGATAATACCTTTTGTCAATCTGTATTTCTTGTTTTATACGAGGAACTTTTTCCGGTCGTCAACCATGCTCATGATGTTCCTCAACTCTTAGACACTTGCATTGATGCTTTTGCAACTGACTCCTGGTTTGGTGCTTTTTCAGGAAGAGAAAGATAAAAAAATACAGGATTTATACAAAGAGCTACAGCATGAAAAAGAACGGTCTGCTGCATTTCAACAACTACAGATGATTTTCAAAGATCTTGAAGAACATGCTGAATTCATGTCGGTTAGAGTTGAAGACATAGTTGACAGCCTGAAAAGGGTTGAACTCGATGATTGTAGCTCAAGTAGCCGCGAACACCTGTAAGTTTTCTGTGAGGTTGGCTGTAATTAGACCTAATTTCATGACAGGAGACTGCTAAAATCAGCCCTCGGGCTACAACATTCTAAGTGTTCTGAGGCTGACATTGTAGTTCATTAGCATAAACACTGTAGCTTAGGATTCACTGTGAGAGAAGAAATATGTCCTGGGTAATTCCTTTGGTATTCCTCTCTCAACAAGTTCAGTTCTGTTCGAACAACTGAATAACTTTAAGCTCGATTATTTATGTTCGAGTTTGAGTAGGAATTGAGCTTTTTTTTTATTAGTTTGAGATGATTACAAGATAATATCAAACATCCCAACAAACGTGTGTTCGAGTCCAAGATCTCTAGAGATAACAATCATCCATTCGTACTCAGTACATCGTCGTAACATTTTAGTTTCCTTGGAGTGGTTTGAAGACGCTGATTTGAAACATATAACAAAGCTGAATCAACCCACAAGTTGGACTTTGATTATATCGGTATGAATATGAAGCAGCCCTTGATTCTTTCACTTTCTTCTTCTTCTAGAATTCAACCAGAAATTTAGATGGAAACACAAATCTGGGTTAGATAATATTATAAAATTACAATTGAGAATAAGATTATGGAATATAAAATTATCCAATAAAATTTACTATAAATCATGTATAAACTTATGGGTAAAGTATACAAATGGTCTCTGACTATAAGGCATTGCGTTGTTGACTTCCAGATTATTAAAAGCTATAAAATGGTCATTAGAATATATGATGTTGTTTTGTTGAGTCATCTGACTATTAACAGTTATAAAATGATCACCTGACTATTCATATTTTTCGTACTCGTCCAATTTCGTTAAAAAATTGGTGACCGTCTGAGATGGACATTAACATGTTGACTAGGATATGATAAAATATGATCCCAAAACTGTTTGAGTTGTATTTTATAGGTCAATCCTCTGTTTGCATTATACTGTCAAACCAGTATTTGAAAGATTATACCGTCGAGTCAATGCTTGAAAGTAACGAAGTGTCAGTAGACATTAGTTAAATACGATTTTATTATATCTAAGTTAGCAAGTTAACGTTCAGCTCAGACGACTATAAACTTTTTAACGTGAAAGGATGACTTTGAGACACATAAATAGTCGTGTGATCATTTTGTAACTTTTAATACTTAGGGGACTCAATAAAACAACATTCTATAGTTGAGGTATCATTTTATAATTTTTAATATTTAGATGACTCAACAAAATATCACCTTGTGGTTGTGACTATTTATGTAATTTACTCTAAACTTATTTGATTAATTTAGCCAGAATATTAAAATGTATGTTTTATTAAAATTTCAAATTTTATAATTCATAAATTAAATTGATGTATGTCGTGGATGGTACGATAACTTATAAAAGTTTATTTTTGGCATGTTTAGAAGTATTTATGAAGTAGTTCGATGGACAGTAAAGGCAAAACTGCTCAAATGGGGCGTTGAAAAAAATAATTAGTTCGTATATAGTATCGTTAAAAATTATTTTTTTGAGATAGTGTGATCGTTATAATGTTGAAGAAGACGTTGGAACACAATTCTTCTTCTCATTTTTCAATCACTTGGAATGTTAAGAATGCCAAAACTACTAAGGGTGCGTTTGATTCATGAAATGTAAGATTATCAATGGAAATAAAAGATTACTGAGAAATGGGATTACTGGATGTTATATTTTGTATTTGGTTAGTTTAGTAGGAATGTAAGATTATCAATAGAAATAAAAGATTACTGAGAAATGGGATTACTGGGAATGAGATTATTGAGAATGTTATATTTTGTGTTTGGTTAGTTTAGTAGGAATGTAAGATTATTGTGTTTGGTTAAAGGAATAAAATATTATTGAAATGTATATTTTACCAAATTGTCATTATTATATATTTATTTTTTAACAAGTTGAATTCTACTATAATATTATTATAATTATTTTTCTTTAAAAATTTTAAATTCATAAAATTGATATAATTTTTTTACAAAATTGAAAAGAAAAATAAGTTTAATAAAAGGGTAAAATTTTATTTTAACCCCGCCACTTCATATAAAATTCTAATAATGGATTTTTTTTGTAAATCTAAAATAGTTTAAGGATAAATTTATAATTTAACATTCGTAGAATTTTTATTATTCAACGACAGAATAAGGATAATTTTGAAAAAAAATAAGAGCAATTTTAGTCAAAAACATCAGTAATCCAACAATACCTAAATGAATGAGTAATCACATTCCCGGTAATATATCCCAAAATATTCATTGTTGATAATAAAAAATTACCAAAAATAAGATTACCGGCCAACCAAACGGTGGAATAAGAATTTCATACCACGATAATATCTTATGCCATGAACCGAATGCCCTAAAGGAACAAAACAAGAGACATAGTCTCAGCGTCTTTTAGAAGATATTGTCCAACATCTTCGAACAAATACTATGACAATTACATTATATCAAAAAAACAATTTTGAAGAAACATAATCCAAATCAATTATTTGATTAATTTGAAATGTTTGGTGTAGAGGACCTCAAAGGTTGAGTTGAGATGGGGAATAGTTAGTTTTTTTAATTATCGATATTTGTTCTATTGATTAACTATTTTAGGTTGGATTTTACAAAAGTAAAATGATTTTTTCAATTCGTAAATATCAAAATTATAACTTACCTTTCGGATCGGATTTGTTGTTTGTGTAGGCACATATAAAAATAACACAAATCCGATTAAAACAAGAGAATAACATTTCCTTCCTCAAATATCGTCTAAGCAAATCATATACACAATAACAAAAAAAATAACAAAAAACAAAGACAATTAACATGGAAAAATCAGAAACACAAACAATAAAACAACCAAATCCCCGAACCAATTTTACAAAATCAAACTAAATGGAATTAGGGGGGAACCCTATTTATATATCCCCCAAAAAAAACCTAAATAAAAGTTAAGCCAGTGAACTAAAGCCGCCTCCTTTCATCATTTGCTTGAACTCCATGAAATTAACCCTACCATCACCGTCTACATCTACTTTCCTTATCATCCTCTTGCAATCTTCCATCGCTTTCCCTTGTTTAAGTCCCAGTGATTCCAACGCCCACCTCAATTCATCAACGGAAATGTAACCGTCTCCGTTTTTATCAAAAACCTTGAAAGCTTCCTTCATATCTTCTTCTTCCTTGTTATCCATAATCGATCGATACAACTCGCTGAACTCATCGATGTCGATACACATATCGCCGTTGACATCGATCCGCTCAATCATAAGTGTCAATTCACTGTCGGGGATAAAGATGCCCATATTCTCCAATGAATCGTTCAATTCTTTCTTAGTGATCGTCCCGTCCCCGTTCCTGTCGAACACCTGGAAAATCTTCCTCAACTCCATCTCGTCCATTCTTTTCTGACAACGAGGGGATGGCGACGCAGAAACGAAGATTGTATAGCAAGAAAATCGCAAAGAAAATTGATGGAATTGAAAAGAAAAATTTAGGAGAAAATTTAGTTGTAAATTTGGAAGAGGAGTGACACCCTTTAAAATAGGGTGGTTGCTCATGACATTAATTAATATAATAGTAAGGTTTCAAAAACGGGTATTAAATAATTGGACCGTTGATAACGGATCTTAGGGGAAAAAAAAGGAAAGGAGAATCTAGGAGAACGCGCCAACGATAAAGGGGTGGCGACTGATGATTTGTGACCGTTGGATTTATGATGATTGTGTGTGTGTTTTCTAAAATTCCTCAACTGCTGTTTTGACGTGGTAGGTGACGTCGACACGTGGCCGTTTTTTTAGGGTCGGACTCTGATTTTTCTCTTTCAGAAATCAAAACGACTAGAATTAGGCCGTCCAATTTAGGTTTGGAAATTGGATTTTGACTAATACTGTAATACAGGTGAATTATGCTGTGCTTCCAGAATCCTCTACACTTTGGGTAGTTCCGGTAACGAAATTTAGAGATAGAATTTGGGGATCAATTTAAAATTTTAAAATGTTTAGATGTTTAAATTAAGATTTTTAAATTTTTTTGAAGGATTTAGTTTATATTTTCCTAAAAATAGGGTCTAACTACAACTTTTGAAATTTTAGAGGCTTAATGAGTACTTTTACAAGGGGTTTAATTAAGAGCATTAAAAAAATTAAAATTTAATTTGAATTTCTAAAAATTTTGGGAGACCAAATTGAATTTCTTAAAAATTATAACAGTCAAAATTAGAATTTTTTAAATTTGGGGGCATGCCCCCTACTCTAGTTTGTGTTTAGCCCCAGAGTAATCCTACTGTGCGTCAATCTAATTTAAAGTTAAAAAATAATAATTTTGAGGTATAACTGAAAATGGATAAAAATCATGATATTTTTTTAAGTTGAATGCAACTTAAAATGTTATATTTTTATTAATATTTTTCGATTGAATTTAAAATATTACGAAGAAAATAATATTTTCGGTTGCGCCTAATATCTTCGTTTTTAAATTTTAAATTTGATTTTCGCTCTTTAAACTTTCCTTTATTTTCTGGTTCTCACTCAGGATTTAGGGTTAACCTCAAGGATTGCGAGACTATCAAGTTGTAATTTTGTTGAATAGAAATGAATATTAGGTTATAATTAGGCGTGGCAAAAGCCAGAGGTGTGAATAATTGAAGATTCCCCACAAATTGTGTAATGGGTATAGTGTTAAGGTTTAGGAGATTGAAATTTATGAATTAATTGGCAGTTGGCTACCAGAAATGAAGGCCCTTTACCCCCTACCTCTCCCACCAGTTCTATGCTCACTCACTGCTATGTCTCAGCCAGCTCGTAATTTCACTTGTATACACAAAATTAATTTAAATTTATTAAATATTTAAGAATAATTGAATTCGTTTATTGAATTGAATATGATCTTATACCAACAATCACGTGATATGGTGGGATGAGACAATAGATCCCTTAAGTAAGATCGGGAGTTCGAATCTTGACGTTAACGAATGGAGCAAACTGGATTGGGAGACTCGTTATTGCCTCTGCAATACCCGATTCAAATTAGTCGATTAATAAATCAGAAACCAGTGATTATACCAAAAGAATTAAATATGATCTTATGAAATTTATTTTACAAACTAAATAA